TGAATTCTATTGGCTAGAAGTTTGTTGGGGATTTTTGCATCTATGTTCATGAGGGATATTAGTCTGTAATTTTCTTTTTTTGTGGTGTCTTTACCTTGTTTTGGTATAAGGTTTATGCTGGCTTCATAGAATGAGTTTGAGACTATTCCATCCTTTTCTATGCTCTGAAATATCTTTAGTAGTAGTAGTGTTAACTCTTCTCTGAAAGTTTGGTAGAATTCTCCAGGGAAACTGTCACGGCCGGGGCTTTTTGGGGGGGAGAGTTTTTAAATTACCTTTTCAATCTCTTCTTTTGTTATAGGTTTATTTATTTGTTCTACCTCTGTTTGTGTTAATTTAGGTAGGTAGTGTATTTCTAGAAATTTGTCCTTTTCCTCTAGGTTTTCAAATTTGTTAGAGTATAATTTTTCATAGTATTCTGTTATGATTCTTTTAATTTCATTTGGGTCTGTTGTAATATTGCCCATCTCATTTTTTATTCAGGTTATTTACTTCCTCTCCTGTTTTTTCTTTTGTTTGTTTGGCCAGTGATTCATCGGTTTTGTTGAACTTTTCAAAGAACTAGCTGTTGGTGTTTGTTAACTCTTTCAATTATTTTTCTATTTTCTATTTCATTTTATTCTGATCTAATTTTAATTATTTCCTTTCTTCTGGTGCCTGAGGGCTTCTTTTGCTGCTGTTTGTATTTGTTTGAGTTGTATGGTTAATGTTTTGATTATGGCCCTTTCTTCTTTTTTGGATGTGTGCATTTACTGCTATAAACTGACCTCTGAGCACTGCTTTTGCTGTATCCCAAAGCTTCTGATAGGATGTGTTTTCATTCTCCTTTGATTCTGTGAATTTTTTTATTCCGTCCTTAATGTCTTCTATAACTCAGTAGTTTTTGAGCAAGGTGTTGTTCAGGTTCCACGTGCTTGATTTTTTTTTTCCTTGCTTTTTCTGTTATTGATTTCTACTTTTATGGCTTTATGGTCAGAAAAGATGCTTTGTAATATTTCGATGCTTTGGATTCTGTTAAGGCTGTATTTATGGCCTAATATGTGGTCTATTCGGAAGAATGTTCCATAATGTGTTGGAAAAAAAAGTATATTTGGCTGCTGTTTGGTGGAGTGTCTGGTATATGTCTGTGAGATCAAGTTGGTTGATCCTGGCATTTAGATCTTCCGTGTCTTTATTGAGCTTCTTTCCGGATGTTCTGTCCTTCACCAAAAGCGGTGTGTTGAAGTCTCCTACTATTATTGTGGCGCTATCATCTATCTCTCTTTTCAATGCTGTTGGAGTTTGTTTTATGTATTTTGGAGCCCTGTTTTTGGTGCGTAAATATTTATTATGGTTATGTCCTCCTGGCGTATTGACCGTTTAATCATTATATAGTGTCCTTCCTTATCC